TTGCCTTTCAGTATGCCATTATAGTCGAATAATTATGAGTATCATTGTCGGGAAATGGAAGATCTGACACCTAGTCTGCTATCCAAAAAAGCCTCGCTAAACGCATTGACTCAGTGCTGTCAGCGTTTTGGCGCGTATTAATTTTCAAAATCAACCACTTGCTGCGGACGTGAATTGAAACATCACCAGTTTTGACAATCACAGCGACTGGAATTCATTGATTTTGCTCGCTTTATCGCCTCCGATGGCGGAATCATTGTAGAGGGTACCGCGCGTATCAATGTACTTCATAAAGCTTTCCAAATTCCAACCAACATTGGTTTACCGATCCAAAGTCAAGTGTGCAAGCCCGAGCAGATTCGTCTTACTGCATGACTTCTAATTCATGCTTGCGGAGCTCTGCTCATGTTTGGTAGGTCTACCGAGCGTAACGTCAGTAGAGTCCACCAGGATGCCTTCACAGCAAGCTATGTGTGACACTCGATTTACTTTTCTTTGCTCTACATACATTGACTAAATCGCGTTATTTACACTTTCGCCAATCGGGTACCTCGCGGTTCATTGTTTGCCAGCATTGTATGTGGCAGGGTGCATTTCTAATACGATGAAGCATAAATAAAAACTTAACCGGGCTGACGACTGCTTCCTGTTTTGTTCGATGCCTCGGATTCATCAATAGATGAAAGCACCGACGCTTTGCTACTATTCGCGCAAGGACTAAGGATGCTGCCACATCGCCCGCATCTACACTGATTCCAGCCGGTAACCTTTAGATCACAAGGCGGACGCCCTATACCAATTGACCACCGGACAATTCGGATCCGACCGTACTAATGATTGCCAAGTGTTTCCGACATCGACACTGGCACTTTTACTTTACATTTCTCATCATTTCCTTCCGCCCGGCCGACCTGTTTGTTACGATCTACGTTTGTCAGTGCGATTCCGGTTGAACTCGTTCTCAGCTAGCTCCGAACTCCAGCCGAAATAAAAAGGGAAGGCTAGTAGGCAAAAGCGTGTTGCTGAACCAGCTACCTAAACGGGTACAAGTAGTGTGAAAACAACGGGCAGAACGGCTAGGTCAGTTGTCCTGATGGGTAGATCAGTCTCGCTAGCCAATGGGAATGTTGGTGCGCACGTCGTACGGACGCGATCGTTCCTGAAACCACTTGATGTTTCGGTTGTACACCATTGGCTCAGCTTCTTTTCTCATCGAATTACTGGGTTTTTTCAAGTTCCCCACTCACTCAGTTTTTTGACCGTGTGTATTTTCTGATTGACCCGAGCCTGTGCGCTGTACGCCACATATTGGGTCCTGGATCATCGTTCATTAAGTTGGAATAGGCTATGACTAAAAGCCCACGCTAATCAACGAGACGCAATGACGTATACCTGCGCCTCAATTGTCATATCACACTATTACTCTTTCAGTTCAAGTCGGAGAAAGGTAGTTTTCTATCCTTTGCTTCTTTTACGTATTTCGTTGTGATTATCGCAAACAGCACCATGCCCTATAACTGTCGTGTGACAAAATATCTGAAAACAACTGGTTTCGGTTATTTTTTCGCTATCGTTGGATTGTCACGTTTCTTCCTTTGCGCTAGCGTGTACTTATATATTTTTCACTATTATCTAGACTGGAATATTGAGTGGAAACCAGCTCCCTATCCGTGCACTCAAGAGCAACGCGTAGCGGCTGCCAAAAGGTACGGTTTGTTGCTGTCAGACTACCAGACTTTCGATGATGATGGCACTGCTCCAGGCGATTACCCCAAACTGCGCCCCTTCAATCAAAAGCACCGTGATCCGTGGGAGCACTACGACTACTATCCCCTCAGACGAAATTTCAATGAACCACTCCCCTTCTTCTGGGATTTTTACACAGAGAGTGGTGTCGATCCTGACGTCGAAGAGGCTTATTACGGTACTGAGACGAGGTATGCAAAGTATTCACTCATTCCTGACCTTTATTTTAGATGGTCGCTTGTGCTAAAATTTTTCGCTCTGCCTGTGGTCCTTGGCACAGTGTTGTGGACAGGGAAACGGTACAGAATTTTTCAACCAGAGGTTCGTATATTTTTCCTTGTGTATATGTATGCAGTGTGGTTTGCAGCTGCGACTGAGAATGCTCTCGATTTGCTTTTCCCATGAGTGTGCAATGAGTGTATGCAATCTTTTGACTACTCTGGCACTCTAATCCAGCGTAGCTTTTGGATTACTTCGAACAGCACTTGGTGCACCTTAGCTAGTTTCTTCACCGATTTGTACAACTTGCATTGATTACCCTCTGATCGTCGTGTATTTGATGCAGGAAGAGCGAGTGAACCGCTCAACACCGTTATATCACTCACCGGGCTTTGATGGCTGGGCCACGTGTTGCGCATGCCAGCCCACCGACTCTCGCGACGTGCGTTTGCGCGCCGGGGCTGTGGATGCAAGAAGAGAGGCCAAGCGATGAATTGGTCCTTCACTTCGAAGTTGGCGTCGGTAGGGGTGTCCCGACTGCCTGGCTGGGATCCGAAGGAGGATGAACACGTCTGGTTGGATGCATTAATTGACATGGCAAGAAGCCGACCTCAATGGCGTTTGTGTTGTTTCTCTGTCCCTCCCCATCCCGCTTATCTCCCCCTCCAATTACGATCTCTTTTGACGCATAATATGTTACTAAGTAGTCTGTTATCTTTTTCGCATTTCATAATACTCATTATCTTGCTTTTTTCGTGTCTTATATTTATGTATTGTGGCACAATAGTTGAAGTATTTCTCATTTTCAACTAATGTGCAATGATGATGATATTCTCTGATCCCTACTCCGTAAAACGATCCTTAGTAGAGATTGCCTACCAAGTGTCAGGTAACACACCGTTAAGCAAAAAGTCTGGGTGGCGACCGCAGTCGTTTTTAATAAGATTCGACGTTATCTATCGAGTACATAAATTAAGCTTATCACTCTGCTGTGGCACTTTTCGCTTGCTTCCCCTTGTTGACTAGCCTGTATCGTTGGCTCCATTCCATTCGTTCATGTTCATTCTCCACTCCTGCCGTGTCTTGAGTTACATGGGGCCTTGTTGCTGCCACTCCGGATAGACTGCACGATCGGCGTCTGACTGATCATCTGTCCAATCGTTCGATGTTCCCTCAGCGGACCGTGTTGTTAACCTGGACTCAGGCATATGTCATCTGATCGCCGCTCGGCGGACCAATCCGCCTCGATAATAGCGTTACGGTAGCTCTACGGCTCCCTGGCTCCGAATCTACGTACAGTGACCGCACTCCTCGCATCTCGGGTGGCACCGAGTCGTTGGGTCAAGGTATTGACGGTGTTAGTGTTGCCCTCAGCAAATATGCTGAAGGTAGTCTGCTTGAATGGATGCTGGTGAACAGCCGCATGCGTGTGTTTGGACTACGAACCTCCTTTGGGATTAATAGTCACCGTTTGGACGGTGAAATACGATTTCTATCGTAAACTCTCATCACTTATTCGCATGGCGAAAAATACTGACATCGTGATCGTTTCTGATGACACAAATACCCAAGTGGGTCATCCTTCGGACTGTGGGCAACACCTGGTAGGCCGCTTCGGTGCCAATGCACGACGAACTGACAATGGCGATTGATTCTTGCAACTATGCGCCGACCACAATCTTCATAGTAGTAGCACTGCTTTCCGGCACAAACGTTCGCACCGCATCGCCTCAATTCCTCAATGACCTGGACCCTAATTGACCTTATTGCCATCACCAACAGATGGCGCACATCGCTGCCGATCAATTTGGAGCACGTACCTAGATTCTGACTATTCTATGGCGCTCATACTTCTTGCTTCGAGGAAGCGCCTAGCTTCTTACCTGTAACCTAAACACTAAATCCGCAGTCCGACAGTATCGTGACGAACTGGCCCAACAATTGTCAGCCAGGTTGGTGAGTCTAACGCTAACTGGAATTGTCTTAACTCAAAGGTGTCTTTCGTGTGAAAGCAGGTGATAGTACAGACCTTAATAAAAAATGCAGCAATGGGTCACACGTTATGTAAGAAATCATGACGCGCACTTGACAACATGAGTTCGCCGTTAAGCATTTCTAGGGCTCCATTTTTTGTCCAACCGGGATGTCTACTCGTTCTGATGCTATTTAGACGATATACGTCATATTATTGATTCGAAATCGTCGTCTAACAAAAGAACAGCAATTATTACACCACAGTGAAGCTGGTATGCATATACGATCTACCGAGATCATTTGGCTGTACTTATTGAATATGGAGATGCACGGAGTAACAACACATTCCCGTGATCAAAAGAACAAGGCGTCTGCCTTGCAACCCGGAGGTCTCGAGTTCGATTCCATGTAGGGCACCCGGTGACTCTTGCAGTATTCCTATTCCTCGCGCGACTATTGGTGATTGCGTCGCAGTGAAGCGTCGATAGGGCGTACCGCTGATGGTAAGTGGGTACGCAGCCGGAATGAGAATGGTGATGGAATCGAGCTGAGCGCCGACCACCAAAGCAATCTCACCCACATTTATAGGATACTGGGAGCCATTGTCGAGAGCAGGCACTACTGTGTATGCAAAAACAACTGACTACGAATCTGTATGGTATCGCGATGCACCCCAACTGATAGTTGACTAGCGCGTTTTTGTATATCTATTGTTGTTTGCTTGCTTGTGATTGGTAAGTATGCACAAAGTGTCTGAGTCATCTCACAGCCTGTTCTCTGATAATTTTATTTTAGACGAATTTTTCGTCCGCATTTATTATTGGTTTCATCATGCAACCTTGTGCTGGTTCCACCGAGGCTTTAATCGTCGCACATGTTGTCCGCTTACTTTTCAGAAAGCCAAACAGTTTCCGTTCTCTCGCACCGATGAACACTATACGTTTGAGCTAGTTGAAAACCACTAACAATTCTTCGCTTCACTTGTACGCTATGTTTAGAATAACTGATAATAACATGCGCGTCCCTGTTCTATACTACTTTGCAAGTAAAAATTATAATCTGGACAATTATAAGCTTTTACTGTGCACACTTCGTCTTTCTGTTCATAGCTGGAGTGGGTGTACAGAAAATAACGTCACTTTTTGCGATTGGCCAAGTTGCGCTGATATTCGTATTCCCTTTCTGCAGCGCGATCGACGAAGGCGCGTCGTTCCAGATACCTGTGGTAATAGACGAGAACCGGAGAATTATTACATTGCACATAACATCCGCTTCTCATTAATGAAGAGGAGCAGGGATGGAAGGACCAGAAGACACTGTATTCCCAGCCAACCTTTTGTTAGCATAAAGTACCAATCATTGACTGGCTAATATCACAGGTTGTGATGTCTTTTACATACTATTCTCAGAAACGTATATTCACTTAAGGACTGAAATGGAATTGTGCCGGCCCGTAGCCTGCCTTGTAATCCGGAGGTCGCGGGTTCGAGCCTGCGTAGGGGACCGGGCGACCCTCGCAGTATCATTAGCCTACGTGGTGGTTGCATGACAGCGAAGCGTGGATGAGGTGTCCTTCTGATCCCTGGAATGGAATTGTGTGTGGCACCAATCAGAGCGCAGTTCGGGCTATCCACAATTCGTTTGGTTAAGAATCTTCGAATGATGATCTGGTTCATCGGTGGATAGCACGGACTGGTGAGGTGCAGCACTTGGGACATTGAAATTTTGTTCCAACTGTTTGAGACACCGGTACTTGCACTGAAACCCTTCGTGATGGGGTTTTCCACCATGAGCTGAGAAAACAAACTACTTAGCACTGTGAAAATTGTTGGCTGTGAACGAGCTATCGGTTTTAGCCACTCTACAAAACCATACAGTGCACGCGTGCAGTCTAACGGTACTCGAAAGCTGAGCCATAAGATGTTACATCGGTTTCCATTAGTTACGCTCCACCGGGTGCTTTGATGCACCACTTAATCAGTAGCCTAAGATAATAACCACAAGGTCACACTGGACGCTGACACCGCCATCAATGAGACGCTTTTACTCTAGGTCGCGAGGCTATGTCAATGTGCTTCCATCTTAGTTCATAATGAGACAACTGCCACACCATTCGCCTCCACTTCAGAATTGTGAAAAAACGATCACTGATGTCTTTTCACTGGGCCCTGCATTTGAAGCATAACTTTGTTGTTGTTAAGCGGCTTGACGAAAATGGGCTTACAACCAACAGATTCTCGATTACGAAACGCCACTCAAAGTGGTCACAACCGCCTCATCTAGGCTAACCGTCACACCATGATGCGGATTTAGAGCATCTACAGTATAATAGGTGCTACAGCGCTACTTACATTCAACCTGAACGCTATGTGAGCAATGCTGATATCTGTCAACTGATATTCGACAATGGATCTTTTGGAGCCGCATTCGATCGCCTGTTGATTTCGGCAGCACTTGCAGTGCGTGTGATCAGGAAACAGAGACACCTCGCTTTTCTGCCACGCGGAGATTCGAACCGGCAAACATGTTATCCCACCCGGTCAGTGTGGAAAAGCATGAAGCGTTTATCAAGAAGCCCTCGAGTTTCCATAGCGCGCGCCGCACTCCTGTACGTTAACCAGCGGTTAGAGATCGAGGCAATACAATTTAGAAATCCATGACAGTCCCTTGTTCGACCTTCCACTACTCGATGGCTGAACTGCCCACGCTTTTTTGCTATTTTTTGGTTTGTTGCTTCATCATTAGGAAGCACAATCGCATCCGATAGATAATCTAGTAAATGTTAATTTCCTGCCCTTTTATTTACGACGTCTGTGATACACCGAAAGTCTGGTCCCATATCGGTGCAGGCAACATCTGAGTGGGACCACCATCAACAGCAGTACATTAACCACTTAAACTGATGCTACGCTACTATACAATCAAGGAGACTTACGGAACGAAGAATAATAAGAGGGAGAGATGGGGGAATTATCAGAGAAACTTAATGCTCTAAGCGAGGCGCTTACCCCTTGTCGGCAACATACCGTCACAAATAGTCGGCTTTCGTGCCAAGATAATGCGGCATCAGTGAGACAGCTTCCTTGCGGCTTTCAGTGACCCGCGTCATAAACAACCGGTACTTCGCAGATAACTCAGCATCAAACACACGCGCAGAATCCGACTACCAGACGACAGCAGACGCGCCACTGGTGAAGAACGCAAGCCATTTCCTGTAACGTATCGTTGACTCCAGCCTGGAAAAAGTGAGGGAGCAACAGCACCGAGTTTCATTTTCTGCTGCCAAGTTAACTTTTGTCCACTCCAACGCGCCACTATTTCTGGCAAACAAATCAAGGCCCTCCTTGATAACCGGGAATACGTAGTACGTGCTGAAGATAACGGAACTTATTCAGTGCTATCTGTTTTTCCAAGGAACTAGCTTGAGTAGCACTCACGTACGTCATCGTTGCGGACACGCTACTGCCATCTGACAACAAAGACTTGAGAGCTTCTCATATCGAAAGGATCAAGTCTCCCATAGAGTAGGATAGCCCTCACTGTGGCCTCGTAAACACGGCCTTTCAGAGAGAAGGAACCACCTTGACGCCACAGATGTGAACTGACTTCAGTGGTTATGCCTCCACCGTTGCTGATGCAGTTGCAAAATAAGTCATCAGCAGTACGCCGGCATACTATCGACGCTTTGCTGGCACGCGACCACTACCGGTCGCACGTGGCCTGTGTATACTGCGAGGACGCCCCGCTCCTACCCGGATTCGACTGGTGACCTAAGGATTGCAAGCCAGGCGTGCGATCCTTTCGGTCTCCGGCCGATAGCTGCTAAGGTGAGTTGACCAACTACCTCGAGTTCTTCCCTATCAAAAGTCAAGGGTCATCAAGTGGCTGGTATTCCTGCAACAACAGTTTGCACTTTGATGTTGTAAATGATGAGACCACTCTTGAGAGATTATTTAGGAGTGACTCTGCCACACCAACATCGTTGGGCAGCAACACAATGTCGCCCGTATTAATCAAGACCAACTAGCTTTTTACTAGGGACCACTTCAACGCCTGCATCGTGGGGTTCCGCAAGGGAATGCGGCATGATGGGGTCCACTAAGAAAAGTGCGCGAACATGACAGGCGCCACTTGTTGTCGGAAAGATATCGGATAAGTCACCGTAGACCTGACGCGGCCTGTGGTGTTCGAGTACATGGCACGTAAAATGTTCACATATTACATGGGGACATTTCCTGGAGAGTATTTTAAACATATGTATTGAGCACACTCTTGAAGTCTACGAACAGCTATTTCCCGCCTGGGGTACGTGTGACGCTGCCTTAGCATCTACCGCAAAGTGGATATCTGGTCTATACATCCCCGTCCTGGGCAGACATCTGCTTGCTCTTCCTTAAGCCGAGATTCCTATTCCGCAATGAGGCGACGGACAAACATTGAGACTAGTAATACCCTTGTGGTTAGCAGTCAGTGCGACCGCACTTCTTGTATATTGACTCTAAAACCGATTCACTCCAGTTACTTGGGATGGTCACTTCTTTGTAGACTTGCTCGAACAGGGAGGTCCGCGTTTCGCATAGAACCTCACCATATCTAAGCAATGCGTATTTAAGAAAATTTGGACCAGCTGCTGGAAAATGATTAAGATCTGTGATTGCGTTTCCGACCTCAGCCTCTGATGGAGCCTGTAGACTAACCGTGGCTCAGCTTACATCACCTGAGTAGGAAAGGGTCCGGGAGCAGAGGTCAACTGAACTGCTATTAAAAGTGCTCCGCATAACCAGCCATACGGCTCTCCTTATTGTGAATGAGGACCCCCGGCGCTGTCTCTGATTGTCCCACTGACGCATGATTTCTTAGTATTATTGGTGCGGATCAGTTTGATGTGCTTGCACTAATTGTTTACTGCTTCCGTTTCATTTATTTCTTGAGCCCTAGTCCACCAGGCTTCTTTGTCAGCACGCCGGCTCTGCTTTATTTAGCGCCCATCAGTCTGTCTGGTTACATTGTGCTCAGAGTCAGCCGGGGGGTTTCTAATGGATTCCAACAGGTTCACCCACTTCTCGGATATCCAGTGACTGTTGCAATGACGATTGCTAGTGCCCCAAGCAGAGGCTCCCGCTTTGTGCACGGCAGCTGGGATCTTATTCCATTGAAGCTCAGTATCATGAGAACGAGAGAGCGAAAGTTCGGTACGCAGAGCATCCTAACCGAGGGTTGAGATAACGTCTCAGTTGCCAGTCAAAGGAGACGCTTGGTACGCCTCAAGTTAAAGTTCAGGGAAAAGCAAGAGCGTACCGAGGCATGATCAGAGTCGGTGAAAGTATTCCAAAACGAGCGACAATCCAAGATGAAATTACGCCACCTATAGCAGCATGACCTATTTGAGTCCATCGCTGGGCAACCATAGAGGGACGTCAAGAGGCACTGACGTGAGCTTAAAAGCGTTGCTGCTAAGAAACAGTCGGTACTCCGCGCATAGTCGCAAGAGACACTCGCAGTTGTCCGTCCGTTCGGAGTTCAGCTCATAGTCACTACGTAGCGGGTTTATAGATCAACCGTCTGCGCTGTACCATTGCGAGACGCCCTGCTCGTATCGATGATCTGCGCCGACTGTCTGTTTTCGAGAACTGTTGCCTGCGGTCCGTCGCCCCTGTGTAGTGGCTGCAGCACGTAACGAACGTGGAAGTTGGGCAGCGTGCCTTGGACACATACTGCGTATGCCCGTTCAGCGTCTTTCGCGTCGTGCCTTGTTCGCGGTCGCTGGACAGAGCTGGAGAAGGCGGCGTGGTGGACAGCCTACAACTTGCAGAAACAGAATGAAAAAGCTGAGAAAACAGCTGGTTCTTATCGACTCTCTGGATGGAGTCCCAAAGATGCTGAATGCCACTAGTTGGAAATTGTGGCTCAAAACCGAGCTCAGTGGCGGTGGCATATGCCCGCTTCTTGCGGTTATTTCCCTTCCCTCAATAAAAATAATCTAATAAATACTCAAAAACTGGGTGGGAAATGGACAAAAAGTTGCTTGTTTTCTTTCAATTTTCACTCCAATCCTGTTTTCCTACTACGCCGTGGTATATATATATATATATATATATATATATATATATATATATATATATGTCTTGCATGCTATGCATGTGCAGAGTACAGGGCTGGCCCCCAGAGCAACGATTTCCTTTGCAAGCCGCCACCAATCGAGGTGGCAAGTATGCTGCCAGCCCTGCCCTCTGCACATGCATAGCATGCAAGACAGTGGAGGATGAGCCGCGCTATATAGCAGTCACGGCGGTCCGCTGCCGTCGCCCATGGCTCAGTGGCATAAGTCGCTGACTCGGAAGAGTAAGGTCGTGTGTTCGAATCCGGCGGGTGCGCGCTACTGACGAGTCCCAATAGGACGAAACGGCCGTCTAGCGCTTACCTGGATGTGTGGTGGCAGTCTGTCCGTGTCTAACTGCGACGAATCTACACAAAAACCTAATAAATCCCCCTACTACTCACAAATATGGTTGGCGGCATCCGGTTTCGGATTTGCCTGTCACTGTGACCATCCACAGGACGCCTGCGCCTACAGAGGGACCATGGGTGGCTTGCGCTGCACCACTCACAGCTCCATCCACACAACCCATATCCAGTGTAAACCCGAAGACCGGGAGGCATGCGGATGGGAGCCACCTTTCATCAACGGAGCCGGCCCACACTCCTTCACAGGCAAACACAAGCACGCTGTATTTGGGGAATCAAGTGTACAAAAGGCGGTGGCTGGACCGTAGTCCGCTCCACACTGAGTGCATGGAACCACTCTTCGAGCGTAGCACGACCACCCCGTCCCCTCCAGCAACGACCGACTATCTCCTGGAGCCAGATGGACGAGGTAGTGGGTAGTAAACAGGTAGGCACTTTGTCAACATGCACATCAAGCGCAGTCACACCTGGGATGTCAAACAACAGGCAATCATTCGAAATGCCGATATCGATTAAAGTAAACGCATATGACGACATAAATACTCGCTAAATGAGCATATGGAAGGAGGTGGTTAAATGTGAATACGCGATAAGTACAAAATGTCCGAAAGTTTGTTACAACATTCCAAACGCGATAAAATTACGCATGTTTACCACAATTTGCATGAGCGACGTGTGTAAATTGGGAGAAGATTATCAAGTGCGCAGAATAAACCAAATAAAATGTAATGAATTTTATCCACATTAAAAAGACCTCATTTGAGTGCAAGTTGGTTTAGCCCAACTGCGGTGAAGAAGCATCATGAATGCGACATCAGCCTCAGCATATATATATATATATATATATATATATATAATATATATACATATACATATATACATATACATATATATACGGCCTCTATTAATCCTTCTGGTAGTGTATTCCATAAGTTTACGATTCTTCGTTCGATACAAAGCTGATGTGATACTTTGTTCATGCTGGGGACCCTGAGTTTGTAACGATGTCCTCGGGTGTTACAGGGTTCTCGCAGGTGAAATATTGGCCGTAGTATGGGGAAGTGATTCAAGTGTAGTACTCGATGGGTCATAATAAGATCAATTCTTACTCGGCGATAGGATAGTGTGTAGAGTCCGAGCTTTTCACAACGTTTTTCATATGGAAGTTTTCGTAGACTTGGTATCATTCTAGTTGCGATATGCTGTATTTTCTCCAATTTTTCAGTTTCCCATTGGGTTATCGGATGGTAAGCTGGGGCACCGTATTCAAGGATTGGTCTAATGAGCGAGGTGAATAGACGAGGGACGGTTTCTTCGGACCATGTGGAGAAACTGCGTCGTAATGCCCAGAGCATACGAAGTCCCGCACGGTACAATTTCTCTGTATTTTCTAGTGATCTTAAATCATGTCGTGAGAGAACTCCTAAGTCTCTGACAGATGTGTTGGGATGGAGCAACTGGCCGTCCAAGGTGTATGATCGAGTGGCTGGACGTCTGGTGATACTGATGAACTCCGACTTGCTTGCGTTAAGAGGGAGTTGCATTTCAGTGGACCACGTTGACAGTCGCTCTAAGTCATGCTGGAGGCGAGCGCAGTCGTCCTGGTTTTCAATGATCCTCCAGATTTTCAAATCATCTGCAAACAGGACACATGGTGACTGGAGCTGCTGCGGAAGATCGTTGATATGAATAAGAAATAATACTGGCCCAAGTACAGTTCCTTGAGGCACGCCACTGGTCGATGGGAACCATTCTGTCAGATAGTCATTGACCTGTACTCTAAACCTTCGTCCCACAATAAACTCTTGTATCCACAGAAGTAACGTGCCACCGATTCCGTATCCCATATATATTTATAATCATATACCGCGCAACCGAGAATCTGAAGAGCCCAGACGATCTACATGTACATTCATATACCCTACTAGAACTATGATATCTAAACAGGTAACAGTGAGTTATAATGTGTTCAATTCGTGGTACAAGGTGTTATTTGTGGCATCAGAACTGCAGTCAGGGTTGGGGCACAAGCGGAAATCGTAAACAAATAGGGTCTAATACTACTTCCTGAATCAGCCTTAGTTGATGTTGTCAAAAGGACTGCACAGAAGCGGCTGTTCACGGGAATCCAATCAAACAACGATGATTATGCCTGAAAGTTGAGAACGATACGCACTCCAGTTTAACCATTGACTGCTCTGTCACCGTCTCCGGGTACGTGCCACCAATAGCGAGGGCAGACCGGGAACAATTGATTCAACATCCCTTGTGGACCATTGATAATATTTACGGGCACACCTCAATACCCAAGATGTTCAACGTGCGTGCGAATTCAATCTGTTGACGAAGGTTGAATGTTGCCAATGAAACGAGACAGCGTCGACTTATAAGGTGTTGCTTCCAATTGGCGTCCAGTGGGTGGTGCAGGAAGATAGTGAAAGATAGTCTAACTCCAGTAGCATCGCGGCTGCTGTCAATTAGGCTAGGAAATATGGAAGGCTAGTATTGTGATTGGGAGGACAGTAAAAGAACCAAGTGAAAAAGAAGGAAGGGAGGCGCCAGCAGTGGTAAGTTTTCACTTATCCGCCCTGTTGCATGCCGTAGATAAGGTGACCCTTGATAAGCTGGGTGATGGCCGACGCGGGACATGGTTGAAGTTTGATGAAATAGTCATGGCTCCCAGAGCTAGACTAGGTCATCAACCAAAGCTCAAGAGCCTGTCCGCGAGGCAGCGCAGTGGCAACGATTCGGTTTTGGAGAAATGGACGACATCCCATTTCGAGCCCACAACTTGGAAGATCGGGAGACTGAGTTTGTCTGACCTCTAACCATTGACCAATCTAGTAGCAGTGGCTCTCAAGGAGCCCCGGGGGCCCCACTCAGTAAAGATCAGTGGGCCGAAGATGTACGCAAACCGTCGCACTACATTAAGGTCCAGTCTTGTTTCGACGGAGTTGTTGGACCAGTGTCGTAAGCATTACTGTCGGAGTTAAACAGGAATTCAATAGGGCTAGATGAAGTTAACCGATCAACTTGTAAGCGCAGGGGGAAGAGTGGAATAACTGCGTAACAATACGAAAGAATTATAGAAATGATGAGCGTTTTAGGTGAACGGATTGCGATAAGCACTCTCAGTATGAACAGCAATCTATTTCGAAGTGGACAATGGTCAATTCCATCCCTAGAGCATTAGGTGAAGAACTCCAAATATTTTTCAAATGCGAACCTTGTCATCGAAGCCGTTCACGCGATTCTGTCTCTTGGGAGACACCTCCAAGCCGTACCAAATGTACATGACGAGAAGTCGATGTTTCATGCATTAATGGGACAACAAATCCAGATGTGGCTTCGCGAACCGACGCCCAATATTATCTGGAGGCAGCCCAGATTTGATGACAAAGTGATACTTTTAGATACCCGCTCCAAACATGTTACGACCGGTTCCGTTTTTGTTAGCCGGCCTGTAGACGAAAAGGACGCAGGCCTGCCTTGTAATCCGGATCTCGCTAGTCCGAGCGTGCGTAGGAGACCGGGCGACTCTCTCAGTAGTCTTATCCCAGGCGCGACTGGTGGTGGTTGCGTGGCAGCCAAGCGTAGATACTGCGTACTTATGATGCCTGTCTTTGTTCACTATTTTCATGTGGATAGCCGGAGTGTAAAATGGTGACCTGCGACTTCGTGGTTTTGAAACGCGCGACCTCACTGCTAGGTTGCTGGTCTCAGCAGATAACGTTTGTCACGTCAGTTACGAACTTGTGTTCGAGTTTGTAGTACTCGCTGCGTTTGGATTGAACCAGCGATCTTTGATCGGACCGCGGTTTACTTGGGAGTGGGCTTCGATGATTCCGATCGCAGAGGCGGCGTCCGGAGCGGATACGTTTTTGGTACTGTTCGCGTCTATCAAGGCACTCGTAGTGCACATAGCTCGTTCCTAAGATCACGGTCAGCCAACTTGTGCATGCGAGTTGAATGGATTTCGCTACGGCATGGAGTCACGATTAAACCACTAGAACTTAGAATATGTATATCAGCCAAGATATATAGTGCATAATTTTTCCTGCAGGAACAGGCTACCAGCATCAGGCGGTTGTGAGACTCCACTAGGGAACACTTACCCCTGTTTTCCTTTGTTGTGTGCAATGAGATCGTCTTCGATGTCCTCCGCGCGGACAAAAGACTCCCAGTCCAACCGGGATTTTTCCTGTTGGAAGCATATATATATTCATTAAAAACCGAATGTACGTAATAAGCAAGATAAACACAGGGTGAGACAGATAAAGACATTTATATTTTTCAAATGTCGTTTTGCCTTGTCAACTAAATAATTGCGGTGTTGGTAACAGTAATCAAGGCATAAATTCATACAAATCATCTATCGAGCCCGATTCCGTGTGATGCCGGCGGATTCTATCTAGTAGTGTTCTTCATGCTTGGATCCTTAGTCGTACGAGATGGACGATCATTAAGCTGGTACTCAGCGTCAAAAGCACGGCCGAGCGAAGTTTTCAACAGCGGTCATGTGCGTGGCGCTCGTGCTATACGCCAATCGAGCTGTGAGCTTATAACCCGTAGACCTGTTGTCTCCTATGGTTAGGTTTTACAGGAAGAGGGCCATCGACCACTTCCTAACCTACGAACAGGATGGGGTTTGAACTAGGAGACTGGCAAGGCGCCCACACCTGACAAGAGAACGATTCGGGTCCTCAGGCAAAGCCTTCGATTAAATGTACACACACACACACATGGTTAGTTAACTGACTCATGCGGATTGGTGACCGGGCTCTTAGTAGGGAGAAGGGCGTAACCCAACTCCCACCCAGCGGTCGTCACGAGGCGTCCAGGATATGAGCCTATGGCACAACAGTAGCAGCAGTCAGGATCTAGCCGCCACTAGCCTGAGAGCACCAGACACTGTCCCGCCTATAAATAAATAAATAAACTATATATATGCATACATATTCGTCAAAACGCTGTTATCTTGTATGCGTGTTTCTGGGACACAGCACACATCAATACCATGAGAGTGAAGAGTGAGTCATGGATGCCTGTTGACTGATCTGATCCAGAGTGCGGACGTTAAAAGAACCAATGTGAAATGAGACTCGTGGTTTGATGGACGAGGTTCGGTTATCAATGGCAGAAGCCGCGACGTCAGCGGCAGTTTCTTCATCAAAAGATAGTAAAGAAAACAGTTGAGGGGAAGGAAAAATAAAGAGGGGGAATTGTCGATGTAGTCGAGAGGGCAGCTGATACTTTCCAGCTGCCCATTCCGAGATAGAGGTTTTGACTCAACAGTATGACCCACAAGGCAGTGGAGCTTGGAGGTTCGCTTGAGAGACTCCACTAGGAGCCTTTGGCTCAATAGCCTGACCCACAAGGCAGTGGGGAGCAAGTTCAGCTCGGAAATGGGATTGCACAGACCCTTTGGGATCTGCTCGAGGCCTGCAACACAACCTTTGAAGATTTGCAATAATTCACATGTGTTTTACGACCATGCTGAGGCTGATGTCATATTCATGATGATTCTTCACCGCAGTTGGGCTAAACCAATTTACACTTAAACAAGGTCTTTTTAATATGGATAAAATTTATTACATTTTATTGGGTTTGTTCTGCGTACTTGATAATCTTCTCCCAATTTACACACGTCGCTCATGCAAATTGTGGTAAACATGCGTAGCTTTATCGCGTGGCATTTTTCTAAAATAACTCGTACACTTTATACATATCACGGATTCAGTTATACCCAATTTCTTCTATATGCCCACTTAGCGAGTATTTATGTCGTCATATGCGTTTACTTTATTCGATATCGGCATTTCGAATGAGTGGCTGTTGTTTGACATCACAGGTGTGGATGCGCTTGATGTGCATGTTGACAAGGTGCCTACCTGTCTATCACCCACTACTTCGTCCATCTGGCTCCAGGAGACAGTCGGTCGTTGCTGGAGGGGACGGGGTGGTCGTGCTAGGCTCGAAGAGTGGTTCCATGCACTCAGTGTGGAGCGGACTACGGTCCAGTCACCGCCTTGTGTGCACATGATTCCCCAAATACAGCGTGCTTGTGTTTGCCTGTGAAGGAGTGTGGGCCGGCTCCGTTGATGAAACGTGGCTCCCATCCGCATGCCTCCCGGTCTTATTCCTTCGGGTTTACACACGATATGCTGTGTGCGGATGGAGCTGTGGGTGGTGCAGCGCAAGCCACCCATGGTCCCTCTGTAGCCACAGGCGTCCTGTGGATGGTCACAGTGACAGGCAAATCCGAAACCGGATGCCGTCTACCGTATACCGCGAGGACGCTCACTCTACGCGGATTCGAACCGGTGCCGCAAGATTACGAGACAAGCTCCTTGCATCTAAGCTACGGGCCGACAACGAAGATAATATGGTCTAGCCGATTCCAGCAGTTCGAATTTGCGCCTTCGTAACGATTAATGGATGCTGTGCATCGCAATCAGACCGGACCTTAGCGTGGTGCGATGGTTTGCGTACTCCCGTGACCCAATGAGCTATTCTAGGTGTCACATTCCAAGCGCCTTCAGAGCCACTCATACCAGACAGGTTAAGGGTTAGATTAACTCAGTCTCACAATACAATCCTCTTCGCAGGTTAGGGAGAGGTCGATGCCCCTCTTCCCGTAAAACAACCATGGGAGACAACAGGTCTACGGGCTATAAGCTCACAGCTCGATTGGCATAGAGCACGAGCACCACGCATCAAGCCAAGCAACCCCTGGTCAAATTGGTGCAAACCCGCCTGCGGCTGGTCGAAGTCGCAGGTGCGTAATGTAATACGGTCGTAAAATACATGTGAATCGTCCCAAACCTTCAAAGGTTGTGTGTGGCAGGCCTCGAGCAGATCCCAAAGGGTCTGTGCAACCCCATTCCCGAGCTGAACTTGCTCCCCACTGCCTTGTGGGTCAGGCTATTGAGCCAAAGGCTCCTAGTGGAGTCTCTCAAGCGAACCTCCAACCTCCACTGCCTTGTGAGTCAGACTGTTGAGTCAAAACCTCTATCTCGGAATGGGCAGCCGGAAAGTATCAGCTGCCCTCTCGACCACGTCGACAATTCTCCCTCTATTTTTCTTTTTCCTCAATTCTCTTCTCCCCTGTCTATTGAGCAGGAAGCTGCCGCTGACCTCGCTGCTTCTGCTATCGATAACCGAAACTCGTCCATCAAACCACGAGTCTCATTTCACATTGGTTCTTTTAACGTCCGCACTCTGGGTCAGATCAGTCAACAGGCATCAATGACTCTCACTCTTCACTCTCATGGTATTGATGTGTGCTGTGTCCCAAAAACACGCATACAAGGTAACAACGTTGTGACGAATCTTCGAATTCCTAGTTCTGAATCTGACGACAACGACTACGCTCTTCGCGTCTGGTGATACGGAGTCAATGGCTCAAGCAGACATGCTGAAGTTAATCTACTAGAGTGGATACCGGTGAACAGCCGCATATGTTGGTTCGACTTCGAACCTTTGTTGGGATTAATAAGCACCATACGAAGATAAGTTGCCTTTTCATCGCCTCTGTTTATGCTGCCCATGACTGCAGTTCGGAGGGTACCAAAGACGATTTCTACTACTATCTTTCATCTCTTCTCCCCATGGCGAGGAATACCGACATCGTGATTGTCGCTGGTGAATTGAATTCCCAAGGGAGTCGTATTTCTGACTCTGTAAAACACTTGGGAGGGCGCTTCGGAGTCAGGGCACGCCGAATAGACAATTGGGATCGATTCTTGCAACTGTGCGCCGATCGCAACCTTTGCTTCAACAGCACCGCCTCCCAGCACAAACGTTCACAACGCGTCATCTGGTGCCCACCGAATTCCTCAATGACCTGAACCCAATTTGGCCATATTTCCATCAGCTACAGGTGGCGCACATCAGTCCAAGACTGTCGGTCAATTTATAGTAGATGCCTGGATTCCGACGATGCTGTAATGCGCGCATGCGTGGTGCTCACTGTCCCCACTTCAAAAAGCACCTATCTTCTAACCTTCTCACCTGCAATGTGAACTTCCAGTCTGCAGTTCAACAATATCACGACGGACTGGCCCACTAATTTTCAGTAATGAATGAAGTTGGTGAACCGAACGCTGAATGGGAATCGTCTCAAGTGTGCTATGAAGTATACTTTTGACGCCTGCTGTGAACCCAACTTGAGATGTCGTAACTGTGAATGGATTTCTGAAGCATCGATAAGTTTGATCGAAGCGCGTAAACGGGTTCCGATTGGCAGTGGATTTCAGAGTATCCGTAACTCCTTGAAACGACATCTGGCAAAGAGTCTTCGAGTTGACCGGGAACGTTGGTGGGTTGCAAAGGTCCGTGATATGTAGAAAGCCAGCGTTATGGGAAACAGCCGGGTGCTATTCCAGATCATCCAGAACACGGTTCCGAGAAAGCCATGAATTAGCAAGACAATAGCTGAGAAACATGGACTGTTGATCCATTCTCAGCCTCGTCGAATAGCCCGTTGTGTTGGTGTAAGACCACTAGATTCTGGTGACATGGGTAGAGTTTCAGCTGAGAGACAGCAGTTGTCAGTTAATTCAAAGTGTATCACAGAAGTTTCTAATAGGGTCTGGAGTGAAACAGACCCAGATCAGAGAGAGAAAAAAGGAAGGCATTAAACCGACAGTATGGTAAGCTGGGAGGAAGAAACTTAGCAGGACTTGGTCAGATCTGTAAATGCCATCTTCATGGATGTGGCCTCGGAAAAGACTACATAAATGGTTAGACTCCTGATCCGGTATGCCGCGGTTGCGAAGTTAATGGCATTTTTTCATTCGACAACTGTCTTTTTTCTTCCAATATCTTTCCCGATAAAAATACGGTTATGTTTGGATTTCCTCAGTGATCGCCATGATGACTCTTATTGGTCGGGTGATGCGAATCACGACAACTAAACCCTACCGCACTTCAGTGGCCGGATCACGGCCGGAGATCTGAACTGTATAAACATTATGTAGCAGCTAGGATGTTTCGGCGAAATAGCAAATGAGGCTTGGGACGCACAACGCATCGCATCATCGAGGCGGTCTCTGGCCAGCTGATGCTTCACTCTGTAAATTTTTTGCGCTAGCCGGTTATAACTTCTCGCCGTAGCCATATACCGGAGGACGGATCGTTACATACAATAACCAGTGGAAGAGATGTTCGTTTGTCCATATGTTGCACTTCAAGATTACTTTTTCGTTTGAACTCTCACCTAACAAGTAAAGGTAGACGACAAAGGCCCTTGTCACCATATTACCGAGCTCCGCGAGTAACACTTAACAAAAAGGATGAGAATGCATTATTAGGTATTGCATGGTTTGCATATCAGTCCGTAGTACTCAAAAGAATGCTACATATACCAACAACAGAGAGGATGGCGCTGGGGACCGTAGCAATACTATTATGCCATACGGTTCCGAGGATCGTGAAAAACGTGGCCAATACATTTGGATAAAAATGAACTTACAAGGGTGGTCAGCTTGTTGGGTTTATTGCCAGTGAGAGCTTTGATATTCTTAAGTGCACCCAAGAGGCCCGATTTTTGGTTCGAAGGGACTTTTGTCGGTAAGGGCCTGTAAAGAGATGAATTATACTCATTGTCGGGTTTCGGACTGTGGTTACCGTAGCGCAGAGTGCTGTTGTCCACTTACAGTACAAAGTTAAACATGACCCTCTGGGCTATGGGCGGAGTGTTCAGTCACACAGAGACAGCTTTTAGATGCAATAGGTTCTGCAATCATGAGCCATATATCATCCCGTGATAGCCTAGTACCATTAGGATGAAAAGGAGGAGAGATATCCTTGTGATTCCGTTCATGAGTAAGTCTGTAAGTGCGTGTGGTTAAGAATGCTGGTTGCAGTAACAGATTGTTGTCAGACGATTTCGTGAAACGACGACTAATGCAGTTATCCCGATACGCCGGCTCGCATAACTCATCCAGAGAGAAAAAAAGATACGTAAGCGTTGGTCGGTGATTTTTCTCCAGGGCAATAAGAGGTGAAACGATTATAGGTAATCGTCGTCGTTAACAATAGCCATTTGATATGGTTAGCTTAGGGCTCATGAGCGGTATCGATCATAGTGATGACAACATAAGCGTGATGAGGCAAAATACTACTTGATATCTTACACGACTGTTCTGTGATCTAGAGGCTGGCTCTTTCGGAGGCGACGGGCACCGTTCTGACAATTCACTCTTGTCCATAATGTCCCGTGTATTAGTAGTTGTTTGCTTTAAAAAGCGTGTAACATTGTGTACAACGACGTATGGTCCAAGACCATGCGCACCACCGGGCAAACACGTCGGCATTTTTGGATAGTAGATATGTTTGGCGCGAACGGCGGTTCCTTTGATTTTGAAGCGGTTCCCGCCTTCGTGAAGCTAACGAAGACGCAAAAAGGTCACTATGATCAAAAAAGACAGCAAATGATGTCAGGTCAAAATGTACTCTTCTGTTGCGTAGTCGTTACATTGTGCTCCGGAGGAGAGGCTCGTTGCTGCATGTCTTGGTCATTTCTAAGCCGGCCTGTAGCCTTAAGGACTACAAGCCTGCCTCGTAATCCGAAGGCTCAGGTTTGAGCCTACGTAGGAACCGGGAAATCCTCGCAGTATCTTTAGCCCACCTGCGACTGATGGTGGTTGCGCGGCAGCGAAGCATCGGTACTGCGTACTAACGTACTGCCGATGCATTCGCTTTTTTGATCTTTTCGATCAAGTTTGCGCGTTTCCGAAATATGGAGTGGCGAACAACAATCACTGATTAGCACGGAAGCAATTGGATGTTAGATGCAGCCGACAGTCTCAACGGAACATGACGGTTCACCTAAGCAACATTTACCGGCAAGAAAATAAAACGTGTAGAACAAAATGGCTGCTTGTCAGTGCGTCATCGCCATGCACTGCTCACTATTACCAAATGCTTCGTCTATACGAAGATGGCTCCGTGACGAACTAGTCAAGATGAGAATATCTACTCAACCGTCATCGTCATGGGGTAGTTTGCGAGACGACACCTACCAAGCTGATGTTTTATCACGGCGGGCGCGCGCGAATGCAGGTATGTGAAAAAGGACTGACCTGGTTCCGCTCGATGCTACTACTTTCGTCTTCGGAGCGTGGTTAGACAGAGATGGAATCGGAGGGGGAGGCTCTACACTGTTTTGGACCGAATTTTCTGGCGATTTCGGAGCGGAGATGCGCTCGGTAACTCTGAAACCATGAAGGAAGTAAATGAAGATCATATTCATGTGTATATGGAAACAGATCGACTGCCATTCGACAATACTTTCACGGGAACACCTGAAAAGTGGTGTGACGAAAACATGGGGCTAAAAAGTCAAAAGAATGGAGGATAGCTGAGACGAAATCGGTGAGTTTTATTACTCTAATTGATCGGTCGCCTAGGCAGGTACATAGGATATAAGATTGGCTAATCAGCCGCACTGATTAAAAATAAAATTTACCCACGAATATGGGATTTTTCAAGTAAACAACTGGAAATTCTTTGCAGTAGCTTTCAAACTAGAAACATGCACATGCTCGGAAAATCAGTAGCTGCCGTTCCGTCTTGTTGATAATTGTCAATAGTGCGAATCCATCAGCTGCATCGGAATCCAAACATATGACGACAATCAGCAACTTATGAGTCATGGAGGACAGCGGTGGACTGTCATGGCATACAAGCTATCCATTCACCAATGTCATGCAAATTACGAACGTTGCTGGGTTAGCCCCGAGATTTACGCCACATTGCAATTAGATTGTAAGTTATGACGATTCGCCGACGTCTTCTATGGCTCAGCGGCATAAACTGTTAGCTGGTGACGCGAACAGCTAGTAGTCATGGGTTCGGGTCCTGATTTAGCCGATGAATGACGAGTCCCAATAGAATCAAACAGCCGACTAGTGCTTTACCGGGCATGTGGAGGACCATCTGATTTGGAAGCTGTGGCCAACAACCCTCAAAAGCAGGACTGTAACCCGATGAGCATGCAATACCAGTCGAAAAAGATAACAGACTAGCAACATTGTACATTAGAACCCGGGACGTTAGATAGTAGTTCCATGAGTGTAGTTTCGTATAAGCATAACTGCGAACAGGTAGCAAAAGAATATACGACATGGAAAGAGTAAAATGGCCGCATGCGCAAAGGACCTCAAGAGAGGGGAGAGGCTTAAGCAAGCATCTATTACGCTAACTGCCGCACGACAGTCCAAGCTATAACTGTCATGTGGTAGCCAGTGGTCCCAAAGCCAAGGGTGTTTTCAACTATTTCGATTTCCTGTTAAACAGATGGTGAAAATCGAAACCAATGCAGTTAATATCGCGGCCGACGTTTGCATCTCTAAAATCCCATAGAAAATTTTCACTCGTATTCATAGCGCGACCAGGGTCCAGATCGGTTTATTTCACCAAATGCCGTCAGAATTACGTTTGTGATGATGTATTGCTGACAACGCGTTTGTGCCCCGATCCTGAATGTTCGCTCCTGGCGCCTAGGTTTTACACAGGGTTCCGCTTCACCCCCTCTTATTATGCTCTACTTCATAGGTACATCAGCGAGGAATCAACTTTGGTGGCTGGTGTGCTGTTATGGATGACGATGACAGTCAAGGATACATGTCGTTAGAACCCAATACGGCAGCCTTTCTTTGCGAACTGTGGGTTCGGATGACAAATTAGGGGCCTCGAGGTTGTGTGCCTCGCTAAGTCACAGAGAGTAAGCGTTGTTCCAGCGCGAACTCCGGCATGATCAGAGTCAAGATGCACACTAAAGTTCGACCAGAAAGTTTGCCCCGGCTTTCGTCATTTGAAATCGATGGTGATATGGCCAGTCCAAGTGTATTAAAATGTAACATAGGTTTGGCGCCAACTGACGTGATTCGGACAGCCGCGGTTGACTGCAATGTTGTTGACTAAATGGTAACAGTTGGGACAAAATCAATGAACCAGGTCGGCATTGAAAGTCTCTTAAGTATCTACATCCAGCCTGTCAGTGTCGAGATAATACATGCACAGTACCACAATATCCATATTCTTGGCATGAACCAAGACAATAAAAAACATATAGTTTTCAGACGATGTCTCAACCCAGAAAAAACCCAAAGCCAACACATATATGCGGCTATACACTTGGGTCGATTCGAGTAGGTTGACTGGTTTAACTGACGAGTGCAATCGTCAAACGTATCTACAGCAAAGCCGTGGCAATTCGAGGCAGATAGTCGTGGATAGGTTAGGACGTTATAGCTTTGTATGTAGGTTTCGGAGACACAACAGAACCCTGATCCAAGAAACTGCACCGTGGAAACATGATGATGGAAATTCCACCGTTTACAAATGTTATGCAGATGAAGGTCCTCAGAATGAAAAATGATTCAGGTGCATCATCAGCACGGGTTGCAGTTACGGAAGGGCGCGTTGGTTACTCTTGGAACAGATGTGTACTATAAGCGAAAGAGTGAAGAAGTTTAACAAGCGATGCATCATCGTGAGTGGACGATACCTCCAACAACCTATTCCGATGAAGAGGGGTGGTAATTAACAATTCGTTACGTAGACACGAGGCAAGTACATAGGTGAAACAATTATTATTACCATGGAGCTCGTTAGAAATTGTTTAGAAATTCAAATATCTAGGCAGTATTATTAGCGCCTGGAATGGAAGATCAGGTCACGAACCGTAAAGCAAAAGCTCGAGGTGTCTTTTTTAATCTCCGCTACCTACAACGCAAATGTATGGTTGCGAAACCTGACCCATCAGGTAATTAGAGATAAAGAGGCGTTAGGATCGATCCTCACTGCCTTCGCAAATGGGGTTTGCCAGGGCTGTCCTTTACCTCCTTTCCTCTGCAACTTTGTGATCGAAGTGAGCATGAGTGACTCGATTCTTTCAGACAATTCTGGAGTGGAAGTTCTGCCAGGCAACCAACTGACAAACCTGGAGTATGCAGACGACATAGCCATCCTTGGGTCTCACGCAGTGACAATGCAAACACTACTGTGCAGACTTGTGCTTAGCGCTGCGCGCTTCGGCATGTACTTTGCACCGTCAAAGTACAAACTACTGTTGCAGGATGGAATCGACACACCTCCGGTTCTATCACCATACAGCCACTAGAAGTGGTGGATCGGTTCACTTACCTTGGTAGCTGTATTACCTCTGACGGTCACATCACCGAGGATACTTCGCATAGCAGCAAGGCCCGTGTGGATTTCCAGAAGCTCATCTTGTCAGTGGAGAGTAGGATGTATAGCGCAGCGATAAGGCCAGTGTTACTGTATGAATCAGAGACATTGCCAGTTCACGGAGAGGACAATGAACACCAGGTCGTGTTTGATCACCGGTGACCTCGAAATATTGCTCATGTCTGGTGGGAACGCCTGGTGAGCGATGCTGAGGTCCGCCAGTTGGTTTCGGCAAGAACACTTCGGGTGCGTCATTCGAAGGTTTACTGAATCTTAATCGCTTACACCGGCTAGGCAAAGTCCTCCGTATGCTCGTTGACTGGCTTCCTCGGAGTGCATTATACTCCGTGACCGCACGAAGGTGGGCGAAGCCTCTAGTTGGCCAGTCCATGAGTGGCATAGAAGCTCGAAGGAATTTACTGAGACTTGATCAGGCTAGTGTATGCCATCTTCGTGGATGGGTCCTCGGGATGGTCAACACCAATGGTTGGAGACCGTATGAGACACGGCGCAGTCACGCAGTTAGTGACGTTCCTGCGTTCGGTTTTTTACATCTGGTTGTTAATGTTCGCTCTAGTTTGATGAGTCTAACGCACTTCTTTGCTTCCATTTTCTTTACATTCTACTTGTATCCAACCCAAGTATCTTGTCATTATTTGTGGTTATTCATGCGATATGTCGTGGTAACTGGATCAGTTGTTCAACTGAATGGAACTGTAGCTCGTAATGTTCTCTTTGTGTATTGCGGCACGCTAGCTGGCGTGTTTCTCACCCTCATCTAACGAGTATTGATGACGATGATGTTTGGCTCATGGTAGATGTGAACAGGCCTGATGTACTTGCTCATCCACTGAGCAAATGCCATGCCAAGAGTAGAATGCAACCAGATAGGAAACGGCTTAAAAGTGATGACGTAGAAATAGAACTTGGAAATAGCACAACCACAGAGTTCTGAAGGCTTCAATGGAAATCAAAACATATGAGGAAGGTGAACATAGTTAAGCAGTTAAGATGGACACAGGAATAGCACCGCACTAAAGGAAGAGAATCCATGAAATTCCAACCAGCTCCGTGTTTCTCAAGCATCACTCAAAGCAAAAACCTCAGCCTGAAAATCAATGTGGTTACCGCTAGTGAGAACGAAGGAAATGGGAAGTCAGCGGCATTTTAACAGACTGAAGGTAAACTATTTCGGTGAAGCATGAAACCAGCTGACCAAGATTCTGGACCGATGCTTAAATAAGCGCAAAGTTATTTACACCAATCTATGACTCACTCAAATTCTTCACCGGCAAACTGATATTTGCGAACCACATTAACGAGCTCCTTAGCACTCTGATGGTCCCATGATCAAGCGCAATTCCATCTTACTCGGCCGTTTGGTGGCGTCTCCACTGAGGACAAGAATTCTTCCCAAATGGCGTCATCCCTAGCTTTCTTTTCCTCATTAGTTGACGACGCCTGAAGATGAGTGGATGATCAATCATAAAGTGAATACCGTTTGGTCCAAGTCATTTTGCCTATCCGTTGAACTAAACCACATAAAGTGATGTATCATACGTGACTTACATCTTGTCACCGGTTCGCACATGCTCGGCATTTGATAATGACTCTACAAGAGTCTGTGTAAGATAATTCAGCAAAAACCGACCTTCACTACCCTCATCCTCTGAACCACAGGAATCACTATCGGAACTGTCGCATTTAGATAGTTTACCTGAAGTCGATAAAGAAAAAGTCCGCCGCCTTACAAGGGGGAATGTATTCTTCATCCGAGGTAGAGTCTTCGGAGTTTGATTCCATTATGTGGTTAGCAGAATGGTATAGCTGCACATTATCATTTCTGAAAAAACGTGATGACAGACGTGCGTGAAGAGCGCCAGCGTAGCGGCAAGATGGGGAGCATGGAAGCATGCTAAGATGCTCCTAACAATTTCATCATTCTACATATCAGCTAGAGGCGATAAACGCCTCAGCAATTGTACCGCGATATAATCCGATAATGTAGCAGCAAAAATAAGGAAAAAATGTAAAAGTAATACTACGTTATGTTTGATTTTATGCTTCGAGAATGAGATCGCGATTAGACAGAAAGGTTAAGTGGCGTGGGTAGGGACCAAAGAGCATCAGAGCAGTACGCCGGTACACAGTACCGATGTTTTGCTGCCGTGCCGTGGCCTTAGAACACTGAGAGGGTCGCCCGGTCCCTACGCAGCCTCGAACCTGCGTCCTCGGAATACGAGCTCATAACGCAGTAGACCACTGCCTGCGGCTCTCCGGAATATCGACAACTGTCTCCAACTAAACGTGTTAGTCGTCTATCGGACCCCAACCCGGGAGTTGGGGGGCACAGACTGAGTCCAAACTTGAAGTGAGAGTCTATTCTTTTTGAAAAAGACATCGACTGGCCTTTTTTCTTCGTTCATCCAGATCCGGGTCGCGATAGTAATGCACACCGCAGAAATCGGTGCGGTGACATGCTAGCATAATGCCCAACCATGGTGCGTGAAATAGAGGTGCTCAGTAGTTCAATTAAAATAGGATGGGAAGGGAATGTCAGATATAAATGCGTCGCTTACAAACGTTTCTTTCTAACCAATACTTCGAGTGAAAAAAATGGACGACGGTTGCTTCCAATAGTATTAAACTCTCAAACAACCATGGCTCTTTGAAGAAAAATAAGAAACCAATTTGATAACCAGCTAATGGAGTAAGGACAACATCGATTGGAACAAGTTTTCTCGCTTCAGCTGGGGGAAGTTATATCACAAAAATACAGGTGGATTCAAATCTTTTAGATTTGACACAGTGGAGGTGATGCGAGCTTCAATTCGATTTATCCACAAGGCTGATTATATATATATATATATATATATATATATATATATATATGGCTGGCGGCATCCGGTTTCGGATTTGCTTGTCACTGTGGCCGGTCACAGGACGCCTGCGCCCACGGAGGGACTATAGGTGACTTGCGCTGCACCACCCACACACCCCGTATTCGGTGTAAACCCGAAGGAATAGGACCGAGGCATGCGGATGGGAGCCATGTTTCATCAACGGAGCTGGCCCACACTCCTTCATAGGCGAACATAAGAAGGCTGTATTTGGGAATCAAGCGCACACAAGGCACTGGTTGGACCGTAGTCCGCTGCCCACTGAGTGCAGCCTAGCACGGCCACAAGGACCGTGCAGCGCATCCCCTCCAGCAACGAGCGACTGTCTCCTGGAGGCAGTATAGACGAGGTAGTGGGTAATAGACAGGTAGGTACCTTGTCAACATGCACATCAAGCGCAGCCACACCGGGGATGTCAAGCAACAGCCAATCACATAAATGAAATGTCGAAAGAAATAGATCGAATACACCGTACAGATTTGCAGCAAAATTAGCATATGAAATAAATGGATTATCAAAATAGTCGTGATAGATTCAGGATGGCAGAAAAAGGGATCAAGACACGTATGTAAGGAGATAAAAGTACGTTAAGTCAACCACTTTAGTTTAAGCGAAATGTGTGCTTTAGTAGAGTATTCCGGTACACATTAAAATAAGGTAAGAAAATAGCACTAAGACAAGGTAGCAAACCAACCACCAGAAATACGGAAACTCAGCACACAAACATATATCATCATCATCATCATCAGGCACGTTAGCTAGAGGTGTAAAACACCTCAACTACTGTGCCGCAATACATAAAAGTAAATAAATGCAACGGCTGCATGCCAGCTGAGCTACCAGCAACGGATAGGCATCGTTCCGAAAAGCTACCAGCCGACTACTAGGCAACAAAAAAATTATTATGTAAAATTATATTATGCTACGAAACAAGATCGTGGTTGGAGGAGGCTAAAAGGAACGGGAAGGGACAAAGAAACTCAAAGGAGATACGCCACTGAGGTCGGCTCCAAGCCATGTTAGCAATTGTAGCTAGCCAAACGTGTTCATCATCTTTTGGACCCCACCCATGGAGCCGTGACGCTCCAAACGAGGCCAGCTCCGAAGTGAGGGCCTTAATTCCTCTCGACCAAGTCATCGCTTGGACACCCCTCCTGTTCTTCCATAAACACCTCCAAAGCGCAAACAACGCACGTCGCAGGAGCCGGTGGGCTGGCATGCGTAACACGTGGCCCAGCCATCGGAGCCTGGTGCGTGAAATGACGGTGCTGAGCGGTTCAGTTCCTTTTCCTGTGCCGTAAACAAGGCTCATTGCTCATGCGGTGTTCCCACCAAATGTGAACCAAAATGCGAAGGCACCGGTGGTCGAACGTAACTAGCCTCTTTATGTCGACTGATCTAAGGGGTCATATTTCATAACCGTACAGTAGAATCGAACGTATCGCTGTATTATACACTCTACCCTTCAGGGCAGGAGTGATGTCGCGACAGTGCCATAGGTGGCGAAGCCTAGCAAAACCACCTTGAGCTTTTGCTATACGGTTCGTGATCTCATCTTCGATCCCAAGGGCGCTGATGCAACTTCTCAGTTAGTTGAATTTCTGAACGACCAAGGGTCAGCGCACAAGCACGCGGTTAGTAAATCGAATGCAGTGTAACTACCAACGCTGCGCCGGTTCTGCCTACGTTCCCTGCAGGACTCGTTATCGTTTCGATGCTGGACCCGAGTGGCCTCGCTCGTGGCTCACTAAACCTGCCAGACTCAAGCATGCGCGAGCGCACGTGCTACAGCACCATGCGCTCGACGTCGAAGGAGTATAGCCCATCGGCGCCTGTCGCTTCTGCACTTGCCGCTACTTTTCTGCATGCACGAGGGTTTTCTCTTGCACCTCAGCAACTGCCTTCGTGATCAGATCGCGCCATGCACGCCGATCAATCGCGTTCGATTCCAATGACCAGCAATCAACATTAGAACGTGATAGCCTCACTTTGATCATGTCGTGGTATCGCAAGTGCCGTTTCCCTGCATTCAGCTGGCCATAAAGCTGCTGTTTAGGTATCCGGGTCGCATCCATACGGCGAATAAGGCCGAGCCACCTCAAGTGCCTCAGCAGAATTATGCAGTCCACAGCATACATGCAACTGCGTCGGAGCACCTCCGTGTCTGCAACTCGGTCATTCCAGCCGATACGCATAATACGGCACAGACACTGCTGATGGAAGCGCTCCAGATATCTGACATTCTTCCGATAAAGCGTCCATGTTTTGCTGCCCTATAGAACGGACAGCACCATAGACTTATATACCAGCAGCTTCGTCCCAACAGTGAGCTGGTGGTTGTTCCGCACACGGCATTCCAGCTTGCCAAAAGCAGCAGCCGCATTCGATACGCGGCTGCGCAGCTCGCACCTCATCTGCTGGTCGGTTGTTGTTACGCTACCAAGGTAGCAAAATCTCGAAGTGATTTCCAACACTTCCTCGGCAATCTGGATTTTGGGCAGGCCCACGGACTCCATTCCGGTGAAGGCTGGAAAAGACAGTTTTGGCTGTGTTGATAGTGAACCCGCATTTGGCCCCAGTCGAAACCAGAGCACTAGTCACATGTTGCAACTCATCCACGCTGTGTGCAAATAACGCAAAGTCGTCAAAAAACAGCAACATACGGATAGTTGTCTCACAGACTATGGTTCTCGTATCGAAACGACGGACGTTCAGAAACCCACCATCAATAACGTAAGCACAAGCACAACAAAAGCACAGAACATCATTGCATGAAGATAAATATTAAACAGGGCAGGAGCTAAAACAGCCTTGCTTCAAAACAGAGACAATTGCAAAGTCAT